TGTCGATTTGCTCCCCTTTGAGTTGGCACTCTTGCAAAATGTCCTGATCGGTTTTGAGACATCAACTAAAAGGCGCCATTTTCATTTGGCCAGGTCAGTGCTAGTGAACTTTGGTTTCCATCCTGCATCAGCCTCCTCCCACATCCCCAACGCACCCCCCACCCCCTCGGTTGACTCACTCTGGACAGTGACTTCCACCCAAAGGGACAGGAACATCGAAAGGTTCTGGAAAATTGCGCAGCGATACCATCCCAAATCCATTGGGGTCGCTTGGTGGATGTGATAGATGTTGTGAGGCATGGAATTAGAGTTCAGGAGGGTATCATTTCTGCAGAAGGCAATTTGTCCTTTCCCACACACATGATCCTGAGTACATCGACAATTCAGTGTGATGGGATTACCATCTCTCTGCAGTCTGGGATCCACCTGCAATGTCAACAGACTTTCTGAAATTGACAGAATGGTTAAATGTTTTGTGAAAAAACCATGGGATTCTGATTAATCATTTTCAATGTTTGTTGCTTGGATATCTGCTTCACAGCTGTAATGAGTGTAACAAGGTCAGCTGGAAGGACCTCACAGAATAGAAGTTCCCTGACTGGGGTTGTTTACCTGGTCCAAACATAGTCCTGGCTGAAAGGCATAAAGGGTTGTTTTCGGGTTTCTGCTCACTCTCGAAGCCAGCTCTGAGATGGCTCGGTCAGTGTCATGTCTTAAACAAGTATAATTAAAAGGTGACTTGGTGACTGGATACTGGCCTCTGTGGAGTTATTTCAGCAGCAATTAACTGATGCATTTTCATCTCTGCATGTGATGTTAATCATTGACTCGCAAATACTTCTGACACCATTCCTTCTAAAAACAGTTTGGAAGCCTGATATAGACTGAATGGGTTTATGCATCAGTGAATGTTTGCTGCATTTAGATTGCTTTTTGTTGGAATGATTTGTAGTGCAGTTCTGAGAGACCCCTTAGGATGAGCAATCATAACATGAGTGAGTCTCTGGGACTAGCTTCCTGAATCTTAATAAGGAAAACTACAGTGGTATGAGGCATGCATTGACTATGATGGATTGGGAAATACTACTGAAAGGAATGAGAATGGGTAGACAGTGCCAAACATCCAATGACAAATGGGTGAATTACAAAAAATATTTATTCCAATCTGACTCAAGAGTGCAAACGGAACAGTGGCCAAACCATGGCTTCCAAAAATACAAGGCATAAAAATTGGCAAGAAAAAGAAACAATGGCCCCGAGGATTGGGAACAGTTTAGATGTCACCAAGAGTGGACTAAAGAATGCATTGAGAAAGGTAAACTAGAGAATGAGTGTAAGCTTGGAGGGTACAGAAGAACAGACTGTGACAGCTTCTGCAAGTATGAAAAGAGAAGTTTGGTGAAAACTAATGTAAGTCTCTTGCAGTCAGAAACAGGGGACTTTGTAATGGGAAACAAAGAAATGCCTGATAAACTAAATTCATACTTCAATTATGTTTTCACACAGGAGGATATGAAAAATGTACTGGAAATGATGGTGAACAAAGAGATTGGTGAGGTGGAAGAAGTTTTAAAAAAAAAAAAAAAAAAATTGCTCGCCAAATTGATGGGATTGAAGGGTGATAAATCCCCAGGGACTGACAACCTACATCCCAGAGTGCTTAAGTAACTGGTCTTAGAATTAATGGTGACCATGTTCCAAGATCCTATAGACTCTGAAACAGTTCCTACACATTACAAGGTAGCTGATGTAACCTTACTATTTAAAAAGGGAGGTAGAAACAAAACTGGGAATTATAGACCAGTCAGCCAGACGTTGGCATTGGGAGTATCAGGGACATGGAGATGTTGAGGGTTCAACATTGGCCATCGTTTCAAGTCAACATCGGGGCAGTTTAACCTGGGTGGTAGGGTAAGAGCAGAAGCATTACAGCTAGCAACTGATATCAGAGCCAGCACCGTGCTGCTATCAGCTCGAATCAATTGCTCAATTACTGCTTTATTAATTCTAATCAATCAATCCTTTTGGCTCTTGAAATTCTTTCCCCTCTAGATTTCATGAGAATTAAATCAATCAAATTGTATGACCAACTTCCAAAATCCCATCTACATCAAATTTTGGGTGCTACATTAGCTTGGATAGAGGATTGGCTCGCCAATAGACAACAGAGAGTCAGGATAAATGGATCTTTTTCCGATTGGCAAGCTATAATGTTTGGGGACCCACAGGGTTAAGTCCTTGTCTCTAACTATTTACAATGTATATTTATGACTTGGGCGAAGGGTTAGAAGATGACACTAAAATAGTTGGGAAACTAAGCTGCAACAAAGAAATAACAAATAGAAATGGATAGGTTAGGTGAAGGTATGGTAAAGTGTGAGGTTGTCCATTGTAGTCAACTTTATAGAAGGTGACTTATTGTTCAAGTGGGAGAGAAACTTCAGTATGATCTGGTACAGACCGATCTGGTGTCCTTGTGCACGAATCTCAGAAAGCTGGCACACAGGGAAAGCAGGCAATAAGGAAGGCAACTGGCAATTGTGAAAAGAATGGCACATATGGGAAGGGAAGTGTTGCTGCAACTGTACAAGGCATTAGTGTTTCTGCATCCAGAGTACTGCGGAGAGTTTTGGTCCTCTTACTTGAGAAGGGATATCGTTTGCATTGGGGGTAATTCAGAGGAGAATCACTACATGATTCCAGAGATAAGGAGTTTATCTTACGAGGAGAGATTGAGCAGTTTTGCCCTATAGTGTCTGGAGTTGAGAAGAATGAGAGGAGACCTAATTGAGGGATACAAGATGGTAAAGGGGGATTGACAAAGGAAATGGAGAGAGGCTGTTTCCTCATGTGGGGCAATCTAGAAAAAGAAGTCAAGGTGGCTCA